AATCCTTGAACAGACTGGAATGAGACTTGTCACTGCATATATTGATTACCTATTGTTATATCTGGTATGAATTATCATTTTCATTGTAGGTTGGTTTATCCAGCCAAATCGTTATCCGGCCAGGGGCTTGGTCCCGTGGTGGCCGGTTATGAGGGGTTCTACTGTGTTTTAAAAAAATTTACAGCATTTACAAAAGGGAAAAAACAAAAAATAGAAGTCAGTGACTGAAGAATTTCTTTGTAGTATTTTTAGGTTAGGTAACAAAAATCTTTTTTGTGCTTATTAAATAAACACCTTAAATGTTATGGTAAACATTTAATGCCCAGAGCTTCAAACGGCCTCCATAAACGCCATAAATGCAACCTCTGCTCTCAAAGTATTTCTTATGTAGATTGTAGACCGTGATTCTATGGTGTTACACTGTGGCGTAGTTCAGTTGGCACTTGGCATACTGTTACGACAACAATGCAGTATTGCAACCTGAAGTCAGCTGATAGCATTGGCACAACGTTTGCTGTTATAACACAGAACACAGAGAAAGTCACGGGTCTGTCTACTCACACCACCATGTCTACAGTTGAAACCATTGAGGAAACCATTTTGATAAATAAAACTAGGTGTACAATGCAGTTATCTACTTGCAATATTGAGCGGAGCCAGCATATTAATTCAATGTCAATAATATATTTGGTTCGCATAAATGGAATGCCTATTTACAGATTCTAAAGTCAATGTACGTCTGGTTCACGTAGACGGATTGTCTAATTGCAGTATCGAAACTATGAGTGTCATATTTGGTTCACATTAATGGAATTTCTATTTGTAGACTGCAAATAGGAATTGCAGTACATATTCAAAGTCTACATTAATGGCACGTCTTGCTCACATAAAATACTGTAGAAGTTATTTACAGTATCCAAACGCAATATGGCGCATCAGCCTAATTCCGGCAACCCTTATTATTGGTTATTCATTTTGTAGTAAATTATGCTCAATGCTATTAATCCGATTGTTCTCCCCTTTTCCTCTGTACGGTTTGTAGTCAGCTATTTCAGACGTTTCGTTGACTAACATAAGTTTCGACTCTTGTTTACCTTTTTATTGTTATCTCGAAAATAATGCAATGGCAACCAACTAACCCATAAGGCCCATGTTAAATTTCTAAAAGTTAAAATTCACGTCACAGGGAAAAGTCTTGTGGTCCGATTATTACCATTTCAGATTGAAATACCTTCCCATGGTTGGGTACTCTGTGTTAAATTTCGTGCAGATCGCTTCAGCAGTTCAGGAGGAGTATTTGTAAAACAAAAGCAGGAGTGTAGTATAAGAGCTTCGCTCCGCTCAAGTTGTGTGTGGATGTGTACAGAGCTACAACAGACGACACCTGTGGTCCGATAAAATAACGGAAAAATAGAATTGTATCGAAAGTGGCCCTAACAATTTTGATAAAAATGTAGTATGATGTAGCCTTTTAAATTCTAAAAAAATGGTATAACTCCCATTCCTGTATGAAATACGGTTCAAAAGTTAATGCAATTTTTGTGATTTTTACCTATTAAATATCATAAGTTACTCTCACCGCTTATTTACCCATGCCCATTGTTAACGGTTGTTGACAATCTGATGGGAGAAAGTATGTGTCCGATTGCTGATACCGTTTATTTTTTAATGGGACTTGATACGGTACATTTGGCTTGTTGGTTTTACATTTCTAAAGCATATATACTCTAGATTTTAAGCCGTTTAACACCCCTGCAATCGGATGATATAATGCAAAAGGGCTTATCTTCGTTAAATTACCATTGGGAATCTAGAAGCCAATCGGGCTCAGGTAAATTTTGTTTTACTCAAAAAATACTTTAGGTTAAGAACTTGCATTCATTGCAAGGTTTTCGTGATTACCACCATGATCTATGTTACCACCACGAATATTGTGCGTGGTTACCACTAATAGGATAAACGTGAAAACGTTATTGAAATACAAGACAATAAAAACACCAAATATCAATTGTGGCAGCTGTCACGTTTTTTAAGTGTAAAAATTTCAATTAGGACAAAAAGTGGCAGTAGACAACAGACGATAAAGCGAGGCAATTGACCTTGTTATCAAGAGGCTAGGATAGCCTGCGTTGAAGACCGGTCTTAAATAGAAATCGGTTATTTTGGTTCTGTTTACGGTTTAATTTTATCCTCACCGACGTAACTTCACTACCTATCGAAGAGTATTTGATTTGTTAATGTGACAGGCTTAAAATCTTTGGGACCACTGTTTGTTTAAGGAATTTTAAGTTTGATTAGTTTTCGTGTACGGTACCTAAGTGCGTAAGTTGGTAAACATATGTATGCAATACGTGTAGGCCTATATAAAACACGTACGGAATACATAATCCAACCTGAGCCAAGAGAAGCCTAGACATCCTTGCCCAAGAAATAAAACAACTACCGGTACCTACTGTTAGTAGTAAAGGCCATTTTGACCGCAAGTAATAATAACTTACTACCAACCACGCTAAGAGGCGGTACACAATGGCACAGTATTTTCTTTGAGTTAATACGGAAAATTGTTCTTCAATCTCGTATTTTTGTTTTATTGGATAGTTGTGCATACTGTATAAATTTATGATCGAGTTTGGTTATATATATATAAATATATATATAAGAAGAAAACTATACAATCGAAACTAAAATTCTAGAATTTCGTTTCTCTCTTAATTGTTTCAATAAATGTATTCCCTGAACAAAAATGTACTTGGACAGAAATAATTGGGTATTCTAAGCATTGAAATGGTGGAAGCCGGCTAGGCGGCAATTGAGGAAACAAAACGTCATTGAAAGAGAAGGAAATGAGCCGGTTTGTGAGAACCACCTTCGTCCTTGCAACGTGGCTCGCGATTTAATACGAGGAGATTCGATTTGACAGTGTTTACATTGAATTGACCTTGAAACGGCGTCGTGACGTAATGAATTGCAACGTCAAGATTCCTCTCTGTCTCTCCCTCTCTCTAGTCTCTCTCTTCCTTCGCATAGAGTACGGGGACAGATAAGTGGTCATTTTATCCCGACGTGGGATATTTTGTTTCGGAACGGGATAAAATGGGATTAGAAATGATTCAATGCACAAAATAAGGCTTGGGTTTCTTATCTTGTAAATTTGTAATATCTGATTAAATAGTTGGGTTTTTTAAAGTTGGGAAGGTTTTTACATCGGAATGTGGTAATGGGATTATTTTAGATTGTGATTGGGATAAAAAACTATTTTTTTTACCAGCGAGGGATATTTTCTTGAGTCTCAGCCACTGAGGAAGAAATCAGATGTTCAGAGAATGTGAAAGTGAGCTGGCGCTCGAATATTTCAACTTCATCGTTCTATTAGTGGATCCACTTTCACTTTCATACATTAACAAGTCGTTAACAAATAAGGATTTTCAAGCACATTCTTTGTACTGTAAAATAAATGTATAGAATATGTTTGTAAACGTTTTTCCTTAGCAAACTTTAATTCTCGGCTCAGTTAATTTCATTATTGGGGGGCTTGAAATTTATTTAAACGTCTGTGTTAGAGGGGATGAGTTGTATCCCAAAATACTTTTGTTGACTTGTGTTTAGTTACACATTAATAATCTTTTACAATTCAAATTGTTTTGAAAATAAAACACTAGTTTCAAAACGATGGCCTTACAAAAACACTTAGGGTTTTTATGCAATACTTTCCCTCCCACCTTTCTTTATGGACAACATTTAATCCATATTTACTGTCCGAATAATTTTATTTAATTTAGATTGCTGGGTTATGTCTTATTAAATCTAACGACTTTCTTTATTTCCTTTTGTAGGCTTTTGAATCTAAACAAAGCAACATTTTTTGTGTAGAAAGTAACGAACCTAATGCTGTAAGTCCACATCCGGCTATACTAAATAAGTGTATTAGTTGTAACTTTTCTCTTATGTAGGTATACTCTCTTTGAAAAAAAAGCAAAAAAAAAAAAAAAAAACTATCATAGGAAGTGGTGTCGATGCCAACACAGGTGGTGTTCATGTTAGCCAGTCCAATCAAATTTGATTAGCTGAACTGTTGTTTAACACTGTCTTATCTGAAGGGGGACATGGTACATTAACTGTGTACAAGGTCTCTCTTTTGTAGTACGTAATTGTATTTATTTAATTAAAAAGGTGATTGTTACTTCAACTGTAAGGGGATTGTTCTGACATACTAAACAATACAGTACCGCTCCAGCTTGTAAGATTTAAAAATGATGTTGTTGTTGTTGATTGATGTTGATGAATGATGTTGAATGGCTATTGATTTTGACTCCTCAGCTCACTCTGGACATCATGAGGCTCAATTGTAGAATATTTACCATTTTCTAAATTATTACAGTACCCAAAGATATTGACTGGTTTTTTTTATCCATGTGATTATACTTGTAATAAATAATGCATTACACCCTTTCAAAACTGTGGGGTGTTTTTTACCCCCCCACCCCATTTGGCCTTTGTAACTATTTTACAACATATTCTGCCACAACAGAATATGTCAGCTATTTAGCAAATTACCAACATAATTATTTGATAACAAATTATTGCTCTCCTAGCCCCTTTTAAAAATATTTTCTATATTGTATTTACTTAAATCATCAATCTTATTTTTGTTCAAAGAAAACGTTTCAACCTTTAGGCCACTGCAAGCTCCTTGTCATTTTAACTGTATCTTGGCTGCGTTGGTTGGTTGTAACATAATTATTGTTACGTACAGGCATAATATTAACTAACCAAAACATCCAAGATACAGCCTAGCGTATGAAGGAGCTAATGATGGTCTAAATATAAACTTAATCTTAGAAAAAAATAGGACCCAAAACGTAAGTATGGGCAACATTTGATCGTTCGACCCATGCCATGAATCATATGTCCTGTTTAGTTTCCACACTCCCTATTACAATGTATTGATGTTATTACCGTTTGAAGTAGTGCAGATGTTTTGATTATTGTGTGTGTTGTAGGTGGAGTGATCAACAGCCATGGCAGAAGCTCACTCAGCCGTAGCCTTCTCCTTCTCCATAACTCACGAGGGCTGGGACGTCAATGTAGACAGGGAGGTGCTCCATCTGGTGTGGGACTCTGGTGTCAGGTCGTGGAAGAAGCGGCTCGCTAGGTTCAAGGTAAGCCTAGATATGTGTTAAGTAAGACAAGATATCGTAGGGTTTCAGTGGATGATGAGCCAATGTGCCAGTGGGGCTGTTGTAGAACTTTGTCCTCTTTGCTTTTTGGTAGGTTAGGAGCTTGAAAGGCACTGAGTGTGTTACGAACAACGTTTAGTATGAATTAGCGACTTGTCACAGCTGTTGATGAAGTTAAAGTTGGTTTTGAGGTTAGATTAGTGATGATTGTTTCTTATTAGCGTTGTGTGGTTAATGAAGTAAGGTTGTAATTGTTGGAGCCTCTCTAAGATGACATGGTTAAAGCGGTTAAGGAAGTCTGTGAGGGATTGTATGGAGTGAGCGTAGACAGTACTTTTCTTGGTACAAGGAGGGAGGTGGGATGCTAATCGTAAAACACATTTCAGTAGCTTCTAGGCTAAAGATGTGATGAACAGGGATTCAAGGGGATTTCAAGATGAGTGGGTGAGCGTAGGTAAGGATGGGACGGGTTCTAGAGATATATAGTCTGACTGAGTTGAAATGGAAGAGAGAATACTACGGCTGTTAAGGACCCTGAGGACATGTAGTAGTTTAGCTTGTTTCTTGGAGTCTCGGCGGTGGGGTCATAGGACAATTTGAAGTCGAGCTTCACCGAAAATTAGGTGCTAATCTTTTTTAATGAATTATCATTTCTAATAATTTTCTTAATTTCCAATTCATGCTTGAGCGTTATTGTGAATTTTTGTTTAAATTGTAAATGTATGCTTTAGAGTTAATTTTTGATTATTGCTGTCCTGAAACTAGAAGTTATTAGTATCCACATTCTGAAAGTTGCTGGAATTGTACCAAATAAATTTTAATCCATTCTACACAGACTATTGGGAACCTAAGATAAACTTTTAATTTTGTCTGTTTTGAGGGAAATATTTACATAATTTAAGACTATTATGGCAACCTTTAAAAGTTCTAGATTTTTCCCAAGGAAATGTTATGTCAGATTATGATCAGTATATTGACTACAATAGATTTAGTTCTAGATGACCTTAGAATGGCGTTTGAACCACTGACTGCCTATTTTAAAACCCTATTTATATTTGAATGTTGACTTGAGCATTTAGTCTAATAGGCCTAGGTTCAAATTTTATTTCTGTTGTCAATGATGTCCACCCAATAATTTAACAATCCAACATCAGCGTTTTATTATTAAATTCAAAAAGCAGCAAATCTCGAGTCTTTAAATCTTTATCAGTTAAGCAAATCCCATTATTTTATTTGTTCAATAATACATGATGATATAGTTTAGCAGGATGATCAGCCAGATTCTGGTCCTTGGGGTAATTGAGGAAAATACCACATCTGGACGGATGTCTAGAACTCTTGGTTCCTAATGATCATTCAGAATATTACAGGGAAATTCATTGGTTTTAGTTTGTTTAGTATTCTGCTTATGGTCTGAGTGTAGTTGTACCTTGTGATTGTGATATTTTATTGAAACTATGGTGGTTTGTTTGATTGTTTCTTAAGTCTTAAAAATAAGTTTGTTTTGGTACTTTGATAGTTTACAGGAAAAAAATTAATCTTTGATTACATAAGCTTTCAAATCCTTCTTGATCGTATTATGTAAACATACAAATGGTTACACAAAATAATTATTCACAGACAGTTATTTGTTTGGGTTGCAAGTTGCAGCGGGGAAGCCAATTTTTGATAGGATATAGTATATTTGTAAAATTACAGTTTGAAAAATATATTAAAAAACTACACCTTTCTAATGTCAAAACAGTAAATATACTCATGATCACCTAAATTCCCACCCAGATAAAAAAGTTGTTTGAATAGTTTTGCTGTTTATAACCTAAATACTTACATACTTAAAAATTTGTAGTAAAACTTGTAATTTATTTCAGCACATATTTATACGGAGGCATTGCTAAACTCAAAACCAGTTTTACAAATTGAGAGACTTGGTTATATCATTATTTATCGTTAAAGATAACCTTTAAGCAAATTAGCCTGGTTTAAATTGACCAGTGAATTGATAGTAGTAATTGTTTTAGGAAGTTGTAGTTTTTATTTCTTCATTCAATCATAACTTAAGTTTTTGTTTGAATGATAAGATTTCTTGTATTTAATTTTCTTCACTATGTCAATGGTGCGCAACACTGTTGTTTTGGAATTAAATGATAGAAGTTATTCAATTGACAACTTGAAATGCGTTTAAATTAAATTATGGTTATGCATATCCTGCTGTATTGACATATGTTTTTCGGTATACTACATTTTGAAATTTATGTTGAAATATACTTTGCTATAGCCCTCGCCACCCGAACTTTAAGCAGCCCAAACTGACCTGCAGGGCCATTACTGGCTGGTCTCGCACGACGCTTTTAAAACCCGATTAGGGACGCTTCTGTGGACGCCCTAGTTCAATATTAACATTAGGAAAATTATAATCAGATTTTTTAATTTACTCATTTACATTAATAACTTAAATTTAACAAACATTTCTGTTTTTGTCCCATCTAAAACGGGGCAATTTTTTTGTTTTTGTGCTATAAACAAAATACCAAGTAACTCAAGTATTAATCCCAAACAATGTCCGTTTTAGATGGGACAGAAACAGAAATGTTTGTTAAATCAATATTATTAACGTAAACGAGTAAATTAATACATCAGATTAGAATTTTATTAATGTTAATACGGTAAGAACTATGGAGTTCACAGAAGCGTCTCTAATAAGGTTATAAAAGGGTCGTGCGGGAGCAGCCGGTACCTGCAGTTCAGTTTGGGCTGCCTCAAGTTAGGGTGGTGAGAACAATAGCATCCATGATGTAAGCAGATACATAAACATTACATAACAAATCTTTATACAAAATTAATTATCATTTTAATATAAATGCTATTCCAGCCACTTAACGTAATTTTTGTAAACATTATTGCTTGAAAACTTGACAAAATCAGCAGATAGTTTAGTATTCAACAGATTAAAATTAAAACAAAAATCACCATGAATCATGTAGTATATTTTACCAAAGTTATCAATGAACTGCTCTTAAAACATCAACTAGTTATCCACCTAATTTATTTACAATTCTTTATCTAACTTTTTTATCCATTCGAGATTGTAGACCATTATTTAGTGTTCCAATATTTTCTAGTAGTTCAGATTCGTAACTCCCGTGTATAACTTAGCATTTGGAATCAATCAATTGAAGAACCGTTGCTGGGTCTACGTGTCATGATTACAATACAAATGACGTTTAGGGGTTTGTAGTGCTCATAGGATATGGGCAACCTCCAGGGTCAAATATTCATTTACATATTGTTGGAGCACATTCAGCTATATTCCTTGTCTGTGTGATCAAGAAACATGTATTGTTTTGTGAATTTTCAGGAGTTTTTCAGAAACAGTGATTTTAAGGATCTGTTCATCTCACCATTTCAGACGAAATTCGGGGTATGATTTGTAATTTATTGTATTTTTTGTACTGGTCATTCTAATTGTAAGACGGACACTTTGGTAGTGTTACATTTTAATTACATGTTTTTTAGCCATAAGGTTTAAGGAATGCTGAACACAGTTTCGTTGTCTACCATGTTATCCATATGGAAAATAAGTTAATTGCTGTAGCCTATATTTATTATTTATAGACACCTCTTCAAATTTGATAAGCATTTACTAATTCCACTTCAATATTTTATGAGACCATATTTTTTAACCTCTATATAGTGTGAATTTAAGTGTAAAGTTTCTTTTTCTATGAATCAATTATTTATTATATCAATTATTTACGCCACTAGGAGCATATTTTAACCCAAATATGAGTGAAGGATGATTGTAGGAGAAATTGCACGATCTTGTAGTCTTGTTAGTGACTAAGGCTGACATGTTCCTTAGACATAGCTGTTAATTAATAACCCATACAGCCAATGGCAACTAAGGGACCTATAGTTTATAGTGGAATCCGAACCACATTTTTGCCTTCTAATTAACGAATTGGTCTAATTATCAGGGTAGCACTGCGGGTAGTCGTAGTACTCACTAGTGCGGACGTTAATCCACACCATGGAGTATCTCATCCACAGTGCATGAATATAAATATCCACAATTCGTGACCTCCTAGTAGCTGGATTACAGAACGACGCCACCGCCCCATTGGTCCGATATTGTCATTGGATTGTAAATTGGTCATTGGTGAAATTGTTCAAGGAAAATAAAGAAAAAAACCAGCTGGTGCTAATGAAGGGTGTTTAGCGGTCATAAAAATCATGAAAAAGTCACTGATTTTACTAAGGGGTTATGGAAGACATTGAAAAGAAACCGTTTATAAGTTTAAGGTACTAAAAGTCACGAGAAAATCAGGTCTAACCTATATAAAGTTCTCCAGACTTTTGTTTTGTCATGTGCTTACTGCAGACAATGATTTAGTTCCCAATGCAGAATCAGTGAGAGCGAACTTATTTTGGATGCAGGCAACCTGCTCAAATCATTACAGCACAAAATATTGTATGCTTGAATATCTCATGTTCAAGTCACTGAAAAGTATTGTCTCATTCGTAGCAAAAGTCGTTTTAACATTGTAATCCTGTCCTAAAGTCGCTGAAAATTTTGAACAACTGGTTTAAACATCCTGTTATGTTAACAAAGGTTTTGTTATTTTCAGGCAAATCATGTTTCATTATATGAATTGTTGTTGACCTTGTTGCATGGTGCAATTACCTTACACAATAACTTGTTAAAATTTGATGATAAGTGTTTTTTTCTCGATGACTTAAATAAGCATTAAGTTTATTGTTGTTGAAAATTTTATCATTAGGTAATTGTTTGTTTATCACAAAATGATTAATAGAAGTCATTGATAAATAGGGAAAGAAAGTTGTTTGCCTGATAACTATAGGGCAAAGTCACAGTTTGATTAAGTTGAAAGTTAGGTAGCCCTGGTTTATATACTAATCTCTGTCATTTGTTATATGAGAACAGACTGTCAAGTTTCAGAAATATTATCTCTGGGTTTTGCCAAGGTTTAATTTTTTTTCAATTTATCATCGAGCTTGTCAACTAATTAAGTTTTTAAAATATAGTTTAGTAGACTAATCTAAAACGAATCACCTGGCATTATATGGCCACTAGTGGCAAGAAACATAAAATATGGCACTAGGTAGTTAGTTCTGAATTTATATTGTGTTCTCATAGTCATTGCCAGGGTCAGCCATGAAATTATAACAGCTGTTTGTGTTGTGGTTGAGTTGGCAACGAGCTTCCAAATTGTTCTGAATTCGGAAATCACCACAATTTATGACTGGCCAATTCTTGTATGGCAGATTAAATAATTTGTCAACCTGTCGGACTCCTTCGTTAATTATATTGTTGTTGAAATTGTAGTTTGAAATAATAAGTTTATTTCCAAAATCCAAAATGAAGGAAAAAAAAAATTATTTTAGAAGAAATAACAATTAAGTAGCAATTGAAACCAATACAAGTCCATCACTAGAAATGCTACTGAATTTAGCACTCCTCTCTAAAAATAATTAGGCCTACCCTAACCATCCTATATACATAATAATAAATAGTATGTCGGCTGTGGCTAAGAATATAGTTGACCCAGAATGTTTGAAAATTATTGGAACATTAATAATTAGAGGCCTAATTAGAGGAAATTGCCTACACAAAGTCTTGTTTGTTTTGAGGGTTTTAATTGGTATTTACCATGTTTCTGGTAAAATAATATAGGAGATTTTAAGCTGGATTCAATTTCTTAGCTTTAGATATTCTTTTTTTGATTTTTTTTTGCTACATGTGTTTATAACCTGGCTCTGGAGAGCGTTGTAAATCTGAGCAAAATTTTCTGTATCGCAGTTAAATAAAAAAACCAAATTGTAAGTTTTTTTCTAATAAAGTCAATTTATGTCTTTTTCTGAACTATTTGGAACAGATTTGGTGCAAACCGAATGAACATTGTTGTATTCAAACTGCGATGAAACTTCACAACAGTCTTGTAATACAATGTTTGTTTATCTAATGCAGAGTTAACGTTTGTGTTGCAGAACAACATAAAGAATGGCATTTTCCCGGCACCCCTACAGAGTCTATGGGCCACCATGGTGCTGGTGGCAGGGCTGCACTTTGCTGGCGTCAAACTACCCATGTACAACTACATACTGTCATTATTGCCTGAGTAAGTATACGTTAACTGACATGTTTCCGTACTGCCAAAGCATAAATTCATTCAAATTCAGTTTGTATGTGCAAAGATGTTTTGCATAAATATTATTGGGTAGAGTTAGTGTTTGACCAATTGAATCGGCAAATGATTGTCCAATTGGGAGTTCCGTCTAGTTACACTGCTGGCAATGATTTTTTTGTGTGTGTTTGACAGTACCGTCCTTTTTCAACCTACGCTAATTAGAACTGGGGTTTCTCCTGCATTTTTCTTATCTCCTGGGTTCCTGGGTAGAGTATCTTTATGCTACTTGATCATTAGACCCTTTGACAAGGAACCTTGTACCAAATGTAGAATCATCTGAAACTACTTGTAAAACCATGCTGATCAGGCTGGAATAACAAAACGTTGGGACTGACCCTCAATTATCCGTTACTATTTGATTTTACGACCAATGTTCACTTGAAGGAAGACCATGAACCCGCCATACGCTTTTTCATAATATTAGTACATAATGAATACATCATTGTTGCATACCTACGTGGCCACTCAAACCCCAAAAGGTTGTTGGCCTCCCCAACATCTTCTGCCATCCATCCCATTAAATTTCATTACTGTATTTTTGTTAACATTTTATGCAATTGGTTTAAAAGATCCTCATTGGTTATTTTTATTTGTAAATGAGTAATCTGTCCGATAACTTTGGTTTGTAATATACCTGGTTTGATTCCAGTCATGAGTGCTAAGTATATTTACTGTATAACCATCACAAAACATTACAAAGAATATCTACAGTGCAATGTATAGAAATTAAGTAAACAGTCGGATTTCAATAAATCTAATTGTGTCTACTGGATTTACTGCAATCACTTGATTCGTAATTTGTTTTCCAGAGATAACCTAAATTACCAGGTGGCGGCGTGTATGATTCTGTCGCTGGTCGTTTGGTTGGGAATCATTTACACAATAAGATATCTCCTCAAGTTTCTGCTAATGTACAAAGGTAATATACTTGTATTAAAGAAAAAGTTTTGTAATATGATTGTCAGTAACTTATTATACAACTTCTAACATTTATTTGCATACTATATAAATTTAATCTGATCAGAACTACATTACTGCAGTGGCCAGTGAAAACAACTTTGGCCTACCTAAATTAAAATGGTTGAAAATATTCTAAAGAAAGTAGATGTTTAAATAAAGATGACAGTTTCAACATTGTATCCTTAAACAATGTGAAAAACTTGATATAGGAGGCAAAAGGAATACTAGAAGCAAGTTTTTAATAACCTTGTGTTAAAATAGCCATCATTATGATAACTAGAAAAAGGTATCAACTGTTTGTAAAAAATTACAGTCACATATTTGGTCCAGTTTAACTGTGGAACATCAGTCTTATTATGAAAAAATGGTTAGCTAATCACAAATAAGTATTTAAGCTGACTATCATTGCATTTTGTAAAACGATGGGGTTTTAGGACCTCTTATGGTTGCCAATAGATAAACAGTATTAGCTTTTAGTAATCATAAAAGTTGTGTAATGGGTACCTGTACCTATCACAATGTTGTGATAACTATAATCTGTGATTGCGGGGACATCACCTGTAATAGTGAAAGAATCAGGAACAATATCGTGAACATCTCCCATGGTCTTAGAGATTTCATCATCATCAGTCATGACTCGGTGAAATTGTTGACGGTTGGAACAAATCGTGTCTTGAGGAAATCCTAAAATAAATGTAATCTTCGAGGATCTGGAGTTTTTAAAGTTTTGGGACCCATTTAATGCTAGTGATAACACTAAGCTATGTAGGGACATGTCTCAATCAAATTAAACTGTATATGTATGTGTACCAGGATGGATGTATGAAGAGAGAGGCAAGGACCGGACCATCTCACTCAAGACCAAGATGTGGCTGATGGGGGTCAAGCTATTGTCTGGGGCGAGCAAGCCTATGTTATACAGCTATCAGGGATCTCTGCCTCGGCTTCCTCTACCCTCTGTAAAGGACACAATGCATCGGGTCAGTACAATACTTAGTACAACAATGGTACCGCTAAGACCTGTAAAATCTTCTTCGATAATCCATAAGCCCAGTTTCTTGGATATTCTGTATTTAAATTGAAGAAAATGCAACGCCAGTGTTATTTATGATCTCATGTAAACCCTGGTGGAGAATTGGAACTTGGTAGCTTCAATAGTTAAGACTGTCTTTTACCATTTGGACCTGCTTGTAAAGATCGGGATCGTGCGTTCCACATACCTTACAATTGGTGCGCTTAATAGTCAGTGAGTTACTATAACCACATATTTATCGGAAGTAATGTATTTTTGTATCAAGTCATGGCTATGTTTTTCAATGTTTGGGGGTTTTTTAGCAAATTTACCACATATGGAATAAGAAACTTTTTTTGTTTTTGTGTTTTCTGCGCCCATGGCATTTTTAAAGTTTTTTTTTTAAGAGAACGGTCCAAACTCTGGTCTTGTTACCATTTACCAGTTAGCTTGTTACCTTGAATATTAGACAGCACAAATTTGGGTATGGAAAAGATCTTGCTTGGAATTAAACCAGTGACCTTCATATTTGATAGCGAGCACTATAACCACTCAGCTACGTAGACAATGAATTAATTTTAAATGTACCATAGTAATGCTTGTCCAACATGATTGACATTAGAAAAGCAGTAGAAACTTAAGTTGTTATACATTTTGTAATGTGCATTTATTACATCCAGTGTTATCATTTCTTTAATCCCTGATCTCAGAACTATCATTATTATCTCCCACCATTGCTGTGTGTCCCTAATCAAATCAAATCCCTAAAAATTCAATAAATAAAAAAAAGGGTTTCGTATCAATATATTTGGATTAGATCTTATCAATAACTTTTCTTCAATAATCTTTCACAGTAACCATGAACGAAAGTACTTTTAACTGAGATAATTGAATAGACCATGAGCATAAACAAAACAATCTAGGCAATATAATTGGTATTGATTTAGGCAATTGTGTCAAAAGGCTTAATTTAGGTAGTTGTTTTTACACTTGTCACGATCATTTTGGTCCATCTGAATAGATAATCATATTCAACAATGTAACATCCCATTTCTCTTTGTAAAAGAGATATGATTTAAACCGGGTCTAGGTAGCCGAGTGGTTATATAGTGTTGTTGCTGGTTCAAATCCAAGCGAGATTGTTTCCAGACACAGATGCCATTTTTTATGGGCTATGAATAAATGATGCTATCTAACAAAAATGTCAACAACAACCAAGACCAATGGTTGGACCGTTCCCTATCAAAACGTAAAAAATGCCACTGGCGCAAAAACACACACAAAAATCTGTTTGATGTAAAGTAATTAGAAAACTGATTTGCAGTATCTGCGGAGCGTCCGACCGTTGCTGGACGATGCTCAGTACTCCAGGATGGAGAAACTGGCAAACGAGTTTGAGAATGGGATTGCTGTGAAACTACAACGATATCTCATGCTGAAATCATGGTATGTGTTTGATTACCTATGTCTTAATTATATCGTGTTGTGTACACCTATTTGTATATAGCTGTAAGAAAAATGTATTGGAAATTAAATTGAAGCAAACTGCTCACATTTTGTTTGAGATAAGTTTGCAGTTTGAGATAAGTTTATTTTAAAATACAAGGTGTGCAATACTAAACAGGAGGATTTACTGTTTGCCTTTATGAAAACAGCTGGTAACGTCAACAATGGAAAAATAAGACGTTTAAATGCATGATGTAATTTCATAATGTATTGTCTTGGCTGATTAACTGTGTCAGACTTGTTTATTAATAAGCTACCACACAGCAATAAAAGGTTTCTCAAACTGGAGCCTGTCTCATCCAAAATTGATGCAGTAAACAACAATAAGTATATTTTCTTAATTTTGTCTTGACCTCAAAAGGCAATAAAGATACCTACACTGCCATGGAAGGGGTCTACGATTTTACCTTGTTCGGTAAAGACAGTGAAGATGTCTCTGTTATGGAGGGTAAAAGTCCACGACTCTGCTGCGATCGCGAAAAGCGATAAAAATGTCTTGGCTACCGTGAGAGAGGTTCAATATTTTTTTGTGATTGCCAAAGAATTTTGGAGGATATTTCCCTAGACAGTGGGAGGCATCCACAGGAGATTTCCAACCGTGAAATCTTCACAGACGCTTTCTGCAACTTCAAAAATAAAAGCATGACTTGCTGCATTTTCTTACATGACGCTCTATTGCTTGAGTTTTTATTTAAGTACCTTAACTTAGTATTAGGATTCACATCCAATACTATAGAATTTTAATTCTGATTAATTTTTGAACCACGGAGGAACGTTTTTAAGGAAACGTACATTTGAGAAAACGTCTCGATAAACTTTTGACCAAGGGTAATAAATAATTTAATCTTAACTCTTGGATGACAAGTGGTCTGGCACAGGTGGTCCAGCAACTATGTGTCGGATTGGTGGGAGGAATACGTGTACCTGAGAGGGAGGTCACCACTGATGGTCAACTCAAACTTCTACGGCATTGACGCCATCTTGATGCACCCCACCACCAACCAGGCGGCACGAGCAGCAACCATCATTCACACGGCTTTACAGTACCGACGGCTGATCGAACGACAGGAGCTTGAGCCTGTAAGTTTCACTGTTATTTTAAAATAGTCATGTATTTGTATATAAAGAGTTAAATTGGTAAATAATTGATTAGGGATTTTTGGATCTTCGCTGGGTTAGAAATCAAATCTTTTACGGTTCAGTTTCAGAGAATGATTGGGTAGATTGGTGAAATCTGTGCCTCCTCAATGTAACCTGTCACAATTGAAAAGATGGGAATGATCTTACAAATGGTTCGAAAAGTCAAGGCAACTCCCAAACTTAATCCTAAGATATCACCATTCATATCCAACCTAGCAAGCAGGCTTACATACTTAAAGAGTATACAATATCAACTATAACCGTGATCTGTACACATTGGCAACACTGTTTCAACAACTTCCTGGCTGCCATTAGAATTGAAGAAAATTCCTCTCTTCCTTATTTGAAAATGTCAGTGACAGTGAAAATATTTTAATGTTTTGCGTAAATAGTGTGAAGTTCTGTTTTTCTTGTGCCACTATGGACTCTTTCCCGTTCAGTAAGCCTATTATTCTAACTAAAAATCATAAAAACCCTTGTGCCCTATGTTACATCTTTATTTGATTTGTTTGCCAGATCCTGATCCAAGGCCTGGTGCCGCTGTGTTCGTGGCAGTACGAGAGAGTGTTCAACACAACGAGAGTTCCCGGGGTCGAGACGGACAAGATTGTGCATTACAACGACTCCAAACACATTGTGGTCTACCACAAGGGCAGATACTTCAAGGTGCCCATCTACTTCAAAAAGAGGATCCTTCTGCCCAGTGAGATTGAAATGTAAGGCTTTAAATGTAAAAAAACTAAACACAAGACTTACTTTTTTTGCAGTACACACCTTGGTGCTGTAGACAGATATAATATTGGTTCCCAATTCAACTCGATATATTAACTCCTATATTTTGAACTACTAGGGTAGATATTAGGGGTGTGCGAAGCAGCAACAATTTTTTGGTTTGATGTTTTGGTATGAACAAATAAAAACCTTCTTAAGTTAAGATTTATACTGAAACTTTCAATTAATTCACAAGGTTCACTGACACTGAAATCAAAATTTTGTAAAAATATGTAATAAAGTCAAACATTTGTTTTACAGTCAGATGAATTACATTCTGCAAGACACGAGTGCCCCAGCAGTCGGTGAGGAGAGGTTGGCAGCCCTGACTGCAGGAGAGCGCACTGCCTGGGCCAACGCAAGGTCCGAGTTCTTCTTCAAGGGCACCAACCGTGCAAGCTTAGACGCAATTGAGAAATCTGCTTTCGTTGTTGCTCTGGATGATGTGCCTTACGAGTTTGACGAGGTTGGATATCACTTTGATTGTTTTGTAGTGTACAAACATTAGTGTGATAACTCATAGGATATAGCCGACGAGAAAGTTTGGACATGTGAAAAATGTTTCACTTAAACGTTCTTGCCCCCAAGACTGAGAAATTGGAATAATATATAAAATATTGTACCTTCTCCGACTTGGCTAGTTGTGTCATGTGTCATGTGGCTAGTTGTGCCTACAACCTGGGTCTGTTTCAAATTTTATTTACGGTCGGCCTAGTATCTTAAAATGTCGTAAATGTTTATTTACTTTTATCGTATTGTTTTGCTATATGCAACATGCGTATTAAATAATGTTCGCAGACGTTTGTTCTTTTTAAACCCTCTTCAATTTGATAATGAGTGATTTGACCGGAAAGCAGTAATACATTGACTTCTGTAAAAACTGTTGAATGGACAAGGTACAAACCTATATATATATTCCAAAATGTGAAGCACAATTTACAATAAAGTTGCAGCTGCTGCCAGAAAATCTCCTCCTAACGCTCAAATAGTATTACAAAATTAATGATTTTACTACCATAAATTATTGATATCATCAAACCTAAACTAATAGTTTATATTACATCTACTCTTACTTTATTATCGACATGTAGATATAATTATTTATTTATGTGTTTGGTGCTAGATAGTGTTAGTTTTTTTACAAACACTGTATCATTTGGTATCCACAATAGTCTGTAAATTCTCAATGGTGTTAACTGATGATAAATTACTTTTACTGTTTTTTCTCCGTGAAGCATAGTAAAAGTTGTATTTTTTAAGCCTGGTTTATTTGGGAGAAGGAGAGAGGTGAGTTTGACTTTTGAATATTGGTACTGTAGTTTTTCCCAAATAGTGTTGTTAAACAATGAATTATTCATATTCAGTGGGAAAATTGAAGCAATTAAATCAATGGTAAAGTAGTAGTATGTCAAAAGAATTGGAACACACAATTGGATAGTAAAGGATAACTAACTTAGAAACGTTATGTGTACTAAGTTTACATTTTGTCCTTAGACTGAACCTACAAAGTTGGACAACTACGGACGCATCCTACTCCATGGAAAGGGCTATGACCGATGGTTTGACAAGTCTTTCACTCTCTGTATTGGGACCAACGGCAGAGTAAGTAACCTGTAATATCTTAAAGGTACTTTTCAAATCTTCAGCCATACAAGTGAACAACAACATTTTGATAGCCTAACATTTATTTGTTGTTTCCATGAATGATTTTGACAAATAGTAAAAGATTGTTGACAGTAAGGTATTGTTGTCCTTTTAACTTATTGTAGCTGAACAATAATTAGTTGTCAGCCTGTTTGTTGTTTGTAAGAGTAATTTAGAATAGTAATGAATGTCTAAAAAGCAGTGGGTTTAGTGTTTGTTCAACGAATTCATTATACTTGTGTAATTGAGAGTCTACTGTAGTTTATTTTATTTTACCAAATGGAAATAATCAAAACAAGAACTTTTCTGATACTGTTGTATAGTTTAAGCTTTGACTATTGAAACAATAGGTTGTCTTATGCTAAAGTTTAAGTAGAAACTTACTTGTGTAATTTTTTTACAGATTGGCTTCAACGCAGAACATTCCTGGTGAGTAGGGTTAGGATTTTAAACAAATCCTCAGATTGTAGAAACATTGACGGTTATTCGGTGCAGTAGTTTTGAACAAAGGAGTATTTATCGAATTACGGTAATCCAAGATAAAACTATGCAGTAATGAAAGCATTAGCTGGCTTTCAATTACATTCTATTTACAATCCTTAATGTTAAATTATATGAATGTTAATTAGATAATTATTGTTTTGTGATTTTTGTCATAAACCTAAATTGCTAGTATGGACGTTGTGTGATCTTAAGACAGTTCAGAGGTGATCCAGAACAAAATAAAACGATAGTCCAAAAACTTATCCTTAACTATCAATGTCTGTCTTTTCAGTTAAAGATTTTATTACAGAGCTACTGTGACTGATTGATTAATTGATACGATTAATTAATTTTTAGAGTAATGTCTTTTCTTAAAGGTAACTTTGTGTAGTAAATCTCTGTGAAAGCCCCTCCTCAGTGATGTCAAGTTGTGCCGGTTTCAGGGCGGATGCAGCCGTAATGTCTCACTTCTGGGAGTATGTCGTGTCCGATGAAACAGTCAACATGGGGTAAACTCATCTCTCTCACTCGCACTCTCTCTCTCTCGCTCTTCTATTGTTTTATTTCAGTTGTGGATTGCGGGCTTCACTACAGACAGCAAAGCATTTAGGTTGACGTAGTTTTGATGTAGAGTTGTGTAGTTGAATATTTAATATTTTAGATGTAGTTAGTTAATGTTCATGATTTCACAGTAAAGTAGACTACTTCTCGTCTCGGTGCTTTAAAATGTAAAAAATAATTGAATTTGTGTTGAAATAAAAGTAAATGTAGAGAACGTAAAGATAAAACTCCAAATTTGTAAAATTTAGAAAAATTGGATTTAATTTTTGGTACGGTAGTCTATTTAAAAGGTTTTTGCCCGTAGCTGGTGTATGGATAGTAGTTTTTACTCATAGTATCCCTGGTTAGGGTTTGAAAATGAAATTCCCGTGCAAAGAATAGAGTAACAGCTAGTAAAAATAGATGTAAACTTACAAAAATAATAAAAGTTCCAAATTGCACCAACAATTTGTGAAACAATTTGTGCTTTCAATTTAATTGTTATCAGCTTAATCACGATCTGAATAATGGAGATTAAAATTTTGTCTATTCACAACTGCTGTAAAATAAAAAAATAAATGAAACCTAAAGATTTTTGCAAAGGTAAAACTAATTAATACACACAGTAGGAAAATTCTCACAAATTTAACCGAGACCAGGCGTAGTCTACTGTTGGTAGAATCACAATGAACCATAGCGTGTTGAACAGTAGACTTAAATGCTTTGCTCCTTGTTTTCCACGCTTGTATTATTTTCTATTTTGTAGCAGTTTTGTTTAATTTCTTTGGACTCCAGGGCAGACGCACCGGTTATGGGCCACTTGTGGGAGTTTGTCATTGGAACGGACATGGTCGACGGGTAAATATAACTTTGTGCGGTACTAACAATGTCTTTCCTGATATTGTGCTCGTCAACTGTTTACAGCAAATATCAGGCTGTAACAATACATTGTGAGGCTAGTTATGTTTATTCATACAAGTTGAATCAGCTGTTGAAGAAGACAGCTTTATGTTTTCCTCTCTTGTAAACTTCTACCAACAGTTCCGAGATGATCATGGATGTTGCCTGGATCCTAGTGTTTTATAATAAAACATTATAGAATCTTTTCAAGTAAATCAGTCTGTTAAACAAAGTAAATTAAATTGATTTTACAGCAAGTTTTACATTCTGTTTTCTTAAAATTATCCTTGAATAGTGAATATTCAGGATCCAAAATTCCTGACCTCTAGTGCAAAGTTATAGCAGTTTTAAATAATACTAATTCAGCAACCTTCATACAAATTTTCTTCCGCATATCAATTTCGCAGAACCTAAAATACATCATGTTGTAAAAGATTGAAAAAAAAACACATTTCTTTAATTGGTGGTTTGCACAGTTTCAGGAAAGATTGAAAACTAACTTAACTTAATCAATTGAAACAGGATTCATTCAAGTTAGTAGTTTAGTTTCATATGTTTTCTTAAATTCTTAAGAGGGGGCAGTGTGTAATTTTATTTATTTCACACTTAATAATTGAACATTACAGAACAACCTCCATAAAACCTAATTTACAGTATATTTTGAAAATTTAATTTGATGTTTTAGACATTGTTAATAGTTTATCTTGGTTTTAAAATGGTAGTTTTCTTCTTTTGTAGATTGTGTGTTTTATTACTCAGTACCACTTTTCAAAAGAACGCCACTGTTAGTTAAAAGTAAAAATAAAACTGATTTCAGACAGCAAAGTGCTTTAAATCATTCAAATTATGTTCAGTTTTGATTTACGATAAGCCACTTTTTAATTACTGGTTTTGTTAAGTTTTTGTTTTAATTGAATCTGTAATGAACGATACCACTACAACTACAAGTCAGGTGGTGTAATAAAACTGCCAACAAAACACTAAGGAAATAATTGATTTCCAGATTTACATAAGGTACAAAGTTTTATTATAAATAAATATGTATCTTTTGCCCATTTTTATATTTGGATGCTTAAATGCTTAATATTGAACTGCGGTGGTGGACTTTTATATGGTTTGCTTTAAGCTTATTGTTATTTTGTTGCTTTAATTAATGCTTATGGTTCATTTTGTAAATATTTCAAATTAAATCCATTGTTTATCTACCCAATCTTTTGCATGTTTAGATATTGGTGAGGGTAAATATTGTACAGTAGTTCAAACGACAAAACTGTGTTTTTAAAAACATACTATTTATTCTGTTATGGATGTTAAAATTCAAGTACCTTGAAAACTTTTCATAAAAATAGTAGTTTATTTCTTATATTGAAACAAATCAGGAGTTGGCAAAATGTTGAAGTAAACTTAATTAAATTTGCTTGAGCTGTAAAGATTTTCAGAAATATTTTTTTTTCTTGTGAAATACAGTAGACCTCCCCTCTTAACCAACCCTAATCGGACCGGACCTAGGTCGGATAACTCAAAAGGTTCTTTAAAACGGGCAACCCCTAAAAACTAAAAAAGAAGCTATTAATTTAGAATTATATGATCATTATTCTGAAGTCATGCTGCATTATTTAGATACCGTAATAAACTTCACTTATCTCCTTTTTTCTTAAGTGTTGATGATAGAAAAGTCACAAATTAACCCAAAAAACGGTAAAATCTAAAATACTTTCAGTGAAATAAATTATAGTCGTAGGCAAGCGTCACTAAACATTCTTATTTTGATACCTTTAGTAGTATTTCAAAATCCAGAATATACAGTATAGAAATTATCAAAATTAAGATACAAGCAAGCATTTTGTTACGAGACGGGATGTTCATTTATAGCCTGTAACATTCCGTAGAAATGCATGTTGTTCCCATCCGAGCGTGGGAGCAGAAATGCCGAGATTCCTAGAAAGTGACGGTTAAACCAAACTGCTCTCAAAACGAGGTCGGTTAAAACAAACTTTACAAGTGAGGGTGAATAATCCGATTATCGATTAATGCAAGGTCGTTCAAGAGAGGGTCTACTGTATGAAGATCCAGGCCTACGATAAACTTAAATATTAAAATCTTTAACAGCAGACACTAATGATAGTGAGGAATCAGATGATACACCGAAGTCCAGCTATTGTACGCTGTTGCTTTTTAGTTGAGTAGAGCTTCAAATGTAATCCAAACAAACAGATTTCAATTTTATGTTTCATCTAATCGCTTGATTTATACATTGTCATATAAATGGAAGATTTAAAAATATACATAAACCATGTATTTCAGAGATGCACATGGGAATCAATCAATATCACATACGCTTAACACTGTTGCTGAAAGTCAGTGGTTTGGTTGGTTGAGGTTAGTGAACTGACTGAGTGTTTTTGTAACTCAGATACAGGGAGGACGGCAGAGCTCTCGGTAACCCAGAGTTCAACCCTCCGCCCACCCCTGTGAGACTGCAGTGGGACTTGCAACCCCCGGCATTGGCTGCCATAGACAGGTCTTACCAGGCGAGTACAAAAACATTGATCCTGTCATTAGAAAACTAAATCTAGCTCTATAATGCAAGTTAGCAGTGCTTCACTGAGCTAGGAATACAACTGGAGGTAACACTGTCACGGCAACTCTGTTAGAAAATTGAGACGCTGTAAAATGTTTTTATGTTGTGACTAACTTGGGGAATTAGCTCAGTGATTCGTGGTTTTCTGTATGTACAATCCCCTATTCCCCTAGTTGAAATTTACTAAGTATAATTAACTTTATCCTTCAGTACAAATGTGGACCAACTTCTCCCAATTCTTTCATCAAGTGCTACCTCTAGTTGTAGCCTATCTCTAGCTCAGTGCTTTACCTTGTTTGGAACTCACCGACCAATACTCGGGTACCGAAGTCCTGCGCCACTACTACCACTACTAGGATCCCCTAAAGGAAGAATCCTTTGGGCAGCAGTAGTGCCACCTCAGTTGTTCCAAATAGGTCATTGGAGTGACATTATAGTTAATTCTTACCATACCAACATGTGGCAATTAAGTGATCTATTCACAAAATCAGTTTGTATGAGATTAATCCAATGACATACTTGGACGGAATATTTCTGTCCCGCCGCTAATGCCCTCTGGCTTTCCTAGACGGAAATATTCTGTCTTGGGGCATTTTCTGTCCATCTACAAGAGTTATTGTGTGTGTTTTAAGTTTCTTTAGTTGACTAAACTGTTTTGGGAAAAAATATGAGTAAACATCAAGTAAGAGTTTTTTGTGTCAAAATGCCATGAATGTCTTGTTTACAATTGAAAGAAATAGACTCGTATAATAATTGCAAATTGTCTTCCAATCTTTCTGAATGGAAAATAATAAATAAGGAAGTTATAGTTGGTTTTGTAAATCACTAAAATATTTTTAAAAAGTAGGAACTCCTGTAGTACAACTCAGGTAGTACAACTTCCGTATGTTGTATATGATTACACTAGTAAATATGTATCTGTTTGTTGGTCAGGTGTCCATGTCTTTGCTGAATGATGTTGATCTGAGGATCTACTTGCACTCTGCCTACGGCAAAGGCTTCATGAAGGAGTCGAGAGTGAGCCCGGACGCCTACATACAGATGGCTCTACAGTTGGCCTACTTCAGGGTAAGCGGCTTGACTTGTTTTGGAATTTATGGTGTAAGCAGTACTTACCTATGTTGAAAAGTTCTCAAGTGTTCAATATACTATATTAAATGTGTATGGATCCCCATGTATCTCTTATTCTCAGTCCATAGCAACTCTACAGTTACATGTATGTGTAGGATGCTGGTAGATTCAGCCTGACTTACGAGGCGTCCATGACCAGACTGTACCGGGAGGGTCGCACAGAGACTGTACGACCTTGCACTATAGAGTCTGCAGCTTGGGTGCGAGCTATGCAAAACAAGTCATCTTCAGTGAGTATTGTTCTCTGCGAAATAAAATTTCAAAATCATCAAGCATCTATGATTATTGAACACCAATTTTAAATTATTTTGTTTGTCATTATGACGAGAAATTTAATTACTCCCATGTAACTCGTTATAAAATGGTAAACAAGGTTTTGTTTGATTCAAACTCAGTTTGTTTTAACTAATTTTTAGGAGTTGGATACTATCCAGTTAAATTAACTACTGTAATCCAAGTTAAGTATTACAAAAGAACCCCGGTCAACCGAATTCGGGTTAAGCAAAACCCGGGTTAACCAAAACCCAGGTTAACACGTTCACGGCGGCACGTCAAATGGTGGGCGTATCCCCAGTGCGGCGGAGCCCTCAGCGCCGAACAAACCCGATTGCCGCGTGTGATTGGCTTTCCAATTTCGGTCTGACGAATAGCAAATAACATGCGAGGATGTCCTGCTTTACAACGAGAGTCGACGTAGTTCGCTAAACACCCACAGATAGCAGCACTGCTTGGAACGTAGCCGGTCCCATTGGAATTGTATTGCCAAATGGAGGGAAAAAGACGGGACAAAAAGTAAATTTTTGAGATTGCCAGACGGGGATTTTACGGGGAAATTTACTACCAACCTACACCACAACAAAATACAGTATACTATTGAGCAGTGCTGTGCGAGGTTTCAAGTTTCTAGCTCTAATCCTGGCTTAAAAATAAAATAATTTCGTACTGCATTGCAGCTTGGGAGCGATCGCACCCACCAGGATGGCATTAGGGTTCCGTATGGGAGCGATCGCTCCCATGCCGCCGCGAACGTGTTAACCGAAACGGTTCCATAAAATAATACAGGGCTAAAATATAAGTAATACGTAATGTAAAATGCTTAAGTAACTTCAGTTTAAAGTATTTTCTAACCCTTTGTAACATTTCTGTAGCTGAAATAAAATACTGTATTATATAGACATTGCTTTAAATTCATTTTCCCAACTCCCCGTGGTAAAAAATAGGCTATATTTAGCATATAACAGGTTAACCGAAAAATTGGTTATCCGAAACGGCTCTCCCCCTTTTATTTTGGTTAACCGGGGTTCTACTGTACTTAAAATCTTTTTTATAAAAAGGTTACGTATCTAAGCTAGATTTAACACAAAAATGAATTAGTTCAGATGATTTTTGTTGTGTTACTACTGGTCATTAAATCCCATAGCTATGTACCTCACAGATTATAGTACTTGCCTTTCAATCAAAAGGTTGGTTTGATCCTGAGAAAAGTCATATAAGAAAGCAACGCCCTTTTATTTATTTATATTTTAAGCTATAACATTTTAATGCAGGTGGGTGTAGAATGACCTGTGTTGCTTTCTGACTAATGAAGTCCAGCTAATTATCCAGACGTTCACATATTGAGTGAAATGTTGTTATTCACATACTGAGTGAGTTGTTGTTCAGACAGAGGAGAGGATCAAGCTGTTACATGCAGCCTGTCAGCAACACCAGAGAGGCTACCAGGACGCCATGTGTGGTAAAGGCATCGACAGACATCTCTTCTGTCTCTACGTAGTCTCCAAGTATCTGGAAGTCGACTCTCCATTTCTCAAGGTATTGTTATAGGCCAGTAAAGTCCCACTCAGCATTTGATAATCAAGCAGTCTGCATGTTTCTGCTCTGAAATCCACACAACTATACACTGTTTTTAATTAAGACTGTGAGCAACAGCAGTGTGGGCAGTAGTGAACTGTAGAATCACATAGCTTCAACATGTAACATTGCTTTTACCATTTGCACTAAGTCGCCAACCATTTTACAAAATTTAGACTAAAATACTTGCGTTTCACTTTTATTGCCGTCACAAAAGGTATACTAATATGATCATGAAAAACTATGAATGATTCTCATAAAACAGTGAATTTAATTTTTAAGTTATGAAGACACTGTCTAAAGTTAAAACTGTTGTAGGAGGTGTTGAGTGAACCGTGGAGACTGTCTACGTCTCAGACGCCTCACGGACAGACGTCTAAGCTAGACCTGCGCAAGTACCCTCGCTGCATCTCTGCTGGCGGAGGCTTTGGCCCTGTAGCAGACGACGGATACGGAGTCTCCTACATCATCGCTGGGGAGGATCTGCTGTTCTTCCACATCTCCTGCAAACGTAGCTCCAACCAGACGGTGAGTAACACAGCAAACAATACGATCAAGTGGCAAGGCGTAAGCTAACCGATGAATTCTTGAAAAATTACAAACATTCAGATTCCTCATATCTCTTATGAAAAGTGATCAAAGGAAAAGAGCAGCAAATTCTTTTGAAAACATGTTTGAAATATTCACCTTTTTACGCTTGGCCTCATTGTTTACCTTAGCTTTAATATTGCTAAATCGGCTGTCTCTGCCACTTGTATGGCCAGTACCATCGGTAATTTTCTTTGTGTTTGAATACATTTTACTTGCATTACCTTTCATCTGTTGACACTCTCGGTTCGGTGGGCCTGCAATTTATTGTGTAGGCCTACCATTAATAATCAATTTCAACATAATATGTTATGTTGCCTTTCAGAAATAACTAGAAATCCATGTAGTGTAATGTAGATTCTTTAAAAATCTTAAATTCCAAACTGTTACATATTTGATCTTTGCAAACTCCCTGCAACTTCACTTACATAACAATGACAGTCAGTTGTGTTTGTTTAGAACGCAAGTAGATTCGCCCAGCAAATAGAGCGAGCATTGGCCGACATGAGGAATTTGTTTACGGATTGGAAGGAGCTACAAAAGAAGTCAAAGACCCAATAACAAACACTGAACCGAACAAAAGCATCGGCGGTGCACTAGTTTCTTCAGGGAGAAGGTTTTCATCAACTAGTACAAACTTAGGCAATCATATCTACTTAGAAGCTAGAACTTATGACTGTTAGATTCTACATGATGGTAAAGTGTTCTAAAGAATCATCACAAATAATAGTTCATATGTCGTTAGGTGAGTTTTATGATTTTCTTTTTGTAGAGATGAACATGTGCAGAGTTTTGGATGTTATGTTTTTGACCCTATGCTCTATATCGTGGTTTGAGTCTTGTTAGTTGTATATCACTGATTTTACTGATAAAACTTGACTTTTTAAGTCAATCTTTTTTAAACCTGATGGTGGTATTTTAGGAAAAAAAAATTAACGCTGCGCTTAAATTTTTGTTACAGGGTGTCCCATTAGTAAACAGTCTAACATTCTGAAATTTTTCATTTTACCAAGTTGATTTTTTCTAACATAGGTTATTTGTACCTTAACATACTCTTGTGTAGGCCTAAGTGTCTCCACGTAGTTTTCTAAAGATCGGTTCAAATAATACAAAGATAAAAATGTTTATGTGAAAAATACAAAATGACGGATACCTGTTTAACGAAGCGATTTTGTGAAAAATATTATTCCTGATTAACTGTTTATTTTACCTGTCAAACTATTTCCCGGAGTTTAGCTGTTTACTTATAGGACACCCTGTATAATAATTGAAAACTCATCTAAATCTCCCAGTAACATCTAGATCTTAAAATAAGCAAACAAAAATATTTTTGTTTGCCCAACCTGATCTAGGGAACCAATCAAAATATAGTTTTAGTCAATAATAAATTTAACTATTAATTTTAAACATTCAATCATGTATCTGGCCGCCTATGTATACTTTCTATCTAGTATTTTGTATTAATGGAAAGTTTTAATTATCAGTAGCAAATTTAACACGTAATTAAATCTAGTATATATATTCCTGTAGAAAAAAATGTTTTTCATTATAAACGAAAACTCCTTTAGGTAATGTTAAAATGTAAGTGGGATGAGATATAAATCCTTAATTTTAAACAGGTCCACTTATTTTTTGAACAAATTTTTACAGAAGAGCTTTAAAAAAATATATTTAAGTTCTAAAAGTAGGATTACAAAAGATAGTGGCACTTTGGGTACTCTGTCAATCATTTTAATATTATAATATAACTTTATTAGACTGGATTTGATAGAATAGGAAATATGAGAGAGTTTACTTTATTCGTTATGTAGAATTCAAATCAATTTACATTATAAATTACTGACTGTGAGTCATTAAAATAACAACAAATCATTACTTGAGGTCAGTTTTACCATAGACAAAAAGAATTAAATATAGACCGTCAGCTGTGCTACGGTTACCATAGGTTCTGGCGCACACGCTACGTAGCTACACGGCACTCTCAGCGGTGTGCTGTAGAACCTTTGGTAACCATGGTAACTGAGCACGGCTGACAGTCTATAATTAATTATTTTTGTCTATGGTTTTACTTGTAACGCCACTTACTTCACTAATAAAGCAAAAAGTTTTGAAACATATCAGTGTAACCACTGGACCAGTATTAAATCCGTAGTATTTTATATACATTTTTTACCAATTTTATATTGAACATCAGTATTTTAAAGAAACATTGTCAATTTATAGCCTACTATCACAACTGTCAAGCGTCAGAAGTATTAAATTTTTTTTGTTATTCTGTTTTTTTTATTGTTTATATTCACATTTAAACATTTTTCTGATTAGTTTATACCCAGTTTATATCAGTATCAATATGGAAGAAGAATATTTATACTTTTTTAAATATAATTGTGAACTGTATACAACTTATACGAATAATAGAATAGTAGTTCACGCAACAATTGCGTAAAAATGGTGTTAACGACACAAGTAGAAAATTTAAGGTACGAGCCTTAAAAACTTCTACAAGTGTCGTTAACACTATTTATGCGAGTTGCGTACACTACTTTACCTACGACAGTGTTTTAATTGCTAAAATCACTACTCATAACTTCTAAGAGAGGTTATGTTTTCGTTTATAACCTCTCATTGCCACTGACAGTGATGCAACGAAACATTGTACCAAACTCTAATTGTACCAGTCAACAATTAAATTGGCCTGAAGAGCTGATTGATTATTTGAAGTTTGAATCATTACAATTTTACTTCACTCTCAATCCTTGAATCTCATTGGTCCGTTACCCGTGTTGTTATGAGTAAAACTATGTTGTTATGAAAGTAAACAATGCTGTTATTAGAAAACTTTTCAATTCTAAGAACTGAACTGAAACGGCTACTTAAAAAAACGGTCGTAGGTAAAATATTCTTTAAGCATGTATTTCAATATTAGTATAAGACTGAATGGTTTATGGTTTTTGTGGAAGACCAAGAGTTTATGTGCATGATTAAAATATGATTTTATTACTCACACATTAAATTATTGAATGAAATGCTGCCAAAAACGATTAAACATCGGTTTGACTGATTGTTGCCTTACGGCTGATATCAGCCTGATCATTCCGAGTGTTCATTTACTGGTTCTATACTAACATAGCGTATTGTAATAGTATGTAGCATTGTATAGCTGTATACTTTATTTGATATGGTGCTGTATGCAAGTCCAATGCAAATGTATAGAAATTTGTGTAAATTTGCTACTCCCCTGAGCTTTAAGGCAAGATATTTAGATTGTGTCGGTTTGATTTTGCTTTAACTTTTATATAATTAAGTTGGACATATTCGATCTGTGAAAATGTTTATTGCAAATTGAGCTGTTGTTAGAGGATCGAGAAGTAGTTTTTTAAATTTTATTATAATCATGTTAACTTAAAGTAAACATTGATTTTATGTTAAACCATTTTATATATAGGCTACCTATAAGAAAATTATTGATCATTATCCATAGTGTTTTTCTAACCTTTTTTGAAGTAACCTTAAAGCTCATAAAATTAATACCTTTTATATGTATTTGTTAGAGGTTTAAGCTACACAAGCAATGCAATTCTGATTGTAAATTATATACGTATATAAATGGACTCTAATAATACTATGGTGATGTATCTGTTGTTTTTAGATAATTGAATTTATGTACATCGATTGTTGTGTCATTAAACTTATTATTTCTTATTGTTGATGCTGGTGCTTTGTTTTCTTCAATAGATTACAAGTAGTTTAAAAAATATGTTAAATTAAAAGTGTAACCTAATTTTATAATCCTCAAATATGTCTGTTGTAATAGACTTTTGACAATCTACTCTTGATACCGATACCAATATCAAAATATTGGTTGTATCGAGAGTTTACAAATAGACCATTTTGACTTTCAGAAGTGATTGAGTTATATCAGAAGTGACGAATAGTAATCAGATTAACATACTTAACAAGTATCGTACAGATCCAATGACCAAGGACAGCTAAGTCTAGTTTTATTAAACATTAAAACAGCCTACAAAATTTTCTCAAAACTAAACATGCGACTTTATTATGCCATTATTCCATATGCCACATTATGCCATTTGTTTAATTTATTTCATTACTTTTGACTTGACATTGAAGCAGGTATGGATACTATAGTTTGGCCGCTTAGAAAACGACCTGCGCGCTAATTCTAAACCAATGCTGGAGGAGGTCGCTTTCTAAGCGGCCGAACTATACATAGGCTATTTTAAACCTGAATATAACTGAGTAAAAGATAAGTGTAAAGTTTAATTACATGCCTTTTATAGGTTTGTTACTGATTCAGACTAGCTGTTTCTTTAGAGTTTATTTTCCTACTATGCGTTTCTTTGAGCAGGAACTATTATTAAGGCGAGTACTAAAACCAACCAAATCACTTAAAAACTAAAGTAACCAATCACTTATGGTATCAAGGAGAAACAAGTAAGTTATAGAAAATGGATGTAAAACAAACATTGCAGGGTTAATCAATTTATTTTTGTTCATATGATTAGTATTTTTACTAACCTCCAAAACACTTGTGACACAATAGCTAGTTATATAATTTATAATTTCTTACTCCACCGATAAAGATTTACTTCTGTTGCGGCTTCCTAATAGTCTTGCCTTCCATGATTAAACTAATCTCATCCGCATCGAGTGTTTCATACTTCAAAAGAGCTTCAGACAGTTCTCTATGTTTGTCCTTGTGAGCGATAAGGATGTTTTTAGCTCTTTCGTAAGATTCTTTCAGGATTTTTTTAACCTCTGCATCTATCAGATTTGCAGTTTGAGGACTCATCAGGGTCCGGTTGCTGTAACTCGATAACCCCACTTCCTCTGACATTCCCCACTTTTTAACCATCTCCGAAGCCAGATCAGTTGCTTTCTCCAAATCACTAGATGCTCCAGAGGTAACCTTTTCTGTTCCAAATATGAGTTCCTCAGCGGCCCGGCCCCCCATCATGGTGTCGATCATGGCTAGTAGTTGCGTCTTTGTCACATGGTAAACATCTTTGCTAGGGATGTAAGACGTGTGTCCCAGAGAAGACCCTCTAGCAACGATTGTCACTTTGTGCAGAGGTTGTGCGTGTTCTGTGAAGTAAGCCACCACAGTATGTCCGCCCTCGTGGTAAGCTGTGATCTTGTTGGTTTCTTCATCTAGTATTTTCGATAGTTTCTCCGGTCCCATCAACGCCTTATCTCTAGCGTATTCTATATGCTCTGTACTGACGAGTTTTGCTCCCAACACAGCTGCTCTCAATGCGGCCTGGTTCACCATGCTCTCTATGTCTGCTCCAGTAAAGTTGGTTGTTCCTCTTGCGATTTTCTCTACATCGATATCACCATGGGGCACTTGACCCAAGTAGTGATTGAGCAGCTCTGTTCTACCTTTGTAATCCGGGACAGAAACGTTTACTTCAACGTCAAACCTTCCTGGCCTCAGGAGGGCTGTGTCTAGATCACCTCTCCTATTTGTCGCTCCTAAGACGATAATTCCGCTGTTGCTTTTAAACCCGTCCATTTCTGTCAGTAACTGGTTGATTGTGTCGTTAGCGTGTGGATGCATAACACTCGATGTTCGTTGTTTTCCTATAGAGTCAATTTCGTCAATGAATATCACACATGGAGTGTTTTCCTTGGCTAGTCTAAAAAGGTCTCTAATCCTCTTCGCTCCGAGGCCGACAAATATTTCATCAAACTCAGCTCCAGATTTGCTGTAGAAAGGGACTCCAGCCTCCCCAGCAATAGCTTTTGCCAAGAGAGTCTTGCCTGTTCCTGGTGGACCGACAAGAAGAATTCCTTTTGGTAATTTTCCTCCGAGTTTAGTAAACTTTTCGGGATTTTTCAAAAACTCAACAACGTTTTTCAATTCCTGTTTCGCTTCGTCTGCTCCTTTGACATCAATGAATTTATGACTCAACTCCATAAATTCTTTTGACTCCGGTGACTCAAACAGAGAACCTAAAGAGCTCATATTTGAATATAAATATAAAATAAGCACCAGTGATGTGCCGATTGAAAAAAGTGATCCTAACAATGTGGTCCACTTTTTCCACCAAGGCATCTGTCCTGCTGTATCTTTGCCACTCACATAACCCTCCACATATGCAAGCAACGCTCTCTGGTGCTGTTCAGGGGGCAACTTCTCTTTTTCCAAGCTTTGGTTATATTCTTTCAAGTTTCTCATGGTTTGTTTTACCTGTGAGTTGATTCCAAAAAAGTTGTTTTGTTTTTCAGTGGATTCATCATTCTTTCGAGGTTTATTGGGCCTTAATGTTCGAAATCCATGAATTTGACTAAACAAATGTGCATGTCTGGCGTTTGCGAGTAAATAATTATTTTGTCCTCTAAAGTTTAAGTTCAGTGTTGAATATGTTGCATTTGTTGAGAGAAAATCATATTTTGTGATTTTTGATAACAACTGCTGAACAGGTATTCTTGATGTTGTCGGTTTTTTACTTGAAAACAAGTTGTCTTTACCTTTTTTAAATATGTTTATGATGTCCTGCACTTCCAAATTTATAGGTGAAGTTACCTTTGCAATGTTTTGAATGTTCTGTGGGGTCTTCGAAAGAACATTTGTATAACCACTTATTCCACGGCCCCAAACACAGCTTATGTTATGTAATGGAACATTACTGTTCATGTTTGGAAACATGTTTCAATATTTCAATTGATTAAAAAATGCCACACTGTACGGAATTAAATGCATAATCCCCACTAAACTATTATGTAGGTATAAACACTATTGTAAATTTAATTATTTTTTGTTGTTACAGTATTTGTTTTTGTATAATTGTGTTTGTGATTGATTATTTGAAAGATTCCTAACAGCTGTTGGGTGTTTTTTTCTAACAACAGGTTATTCAATGCAAAAGAAAGAACCATAGAGTTATTTCATGGAAGAAAAACATATTCTTATTACATTTAATCATGGTCTATAATATGTTTGCATGTAATATATGTATGTGAATTTCTTCCTTCAGTGAGTCTTACAGTCTTTCCCCAACCAATATGAAGACCTATTCTTATTGGTTCTAATTAAAAGTTACTTATTTAAACGAAGACTGTTGAAGATTTCTTAGTTTTGAGGGTTATTAGTAGGTTAAACAATCTGAACTCAACATGACATAGACTCTATACTACTGTAGATAAGACGTTCTACATAAAAATAGAAAAAAATAAGTCACAGCCAACTAGTATAATAATCACCCTTGCCAATTAATTACCAATGTAAAAAAGTCTTGGTATGTGATGGAAGTTTACAATTTGTTTAAATTCCATTTTACTTATTTAAAGTATACAAAAACATTTAGTTGCACATAAAAACACATAACTCTAGGATTGTGATTTGGGGTAGTTGTCCAGCAATGAAGCTTGAAAGATAGAGTGGAGGGGGGGGGGTGGTGGTGGAAAGGATCAATGTACCCAGCAGCCACCTGTAGCCTCGAATTCATCCAGACATTCTTCGAGATTTACCTAAGCTAAGGAAATAAATGTAAGGGAGCCCAACTATGATTTCTGCTGAATATGATTTTCTATTGAATTAATTAGGTACCGTATTCAATTGTGCAGATAGCACATTATGATAGGGTATACAACTTGTAACTGTAGCAAGACGAATAATGCAATATCCTTTTACCTTTTCAATACTACATTGTAATTAACAAATTAACGATGAAGAAAAAAACATCATATGAATAATAAGTTTTTAAGATGGATGAATAAAACTAATATTTTTCAATAATTAAAATTTGACGATCACAGTTCCATCTACCAAGGCATAAAGTAAGTGATATAGCATTAAGGTAGTGATTTACCTACTTCAATGAGGTTACAATCTATACTATTATATAAAAATCTAATGGTGTCTGTCTGTATGTGTATTACTAATAGGTGCAAGAACTACTGAACCAACTGGGCTAAAATTTTACAAAAATATAGTTACCATACCAAGGACCATTATAGGACTGTTCACATTTCGATACTAACCGTAGGCTTTGCCCCTTTGGCTTTAAAAGTTCTGAGGTGAACATTTTAAAAGTAAATATTGATTGGTCTCCATGGCTGTGATGAGAACACTAACAATGTTTGTTTACATTTGCTTTAGCATTTGAATGTAAACAAGAAGAACTGCTAAACTGCATATTTCACAATTTCAGACAGCTGATACAAAGAAATTAAATATAATATTTTCCATAAATATGAGGTAGGTTTATTTTAATCTAACCTTTTATCATGGATTATTTATTCTAAAACTATGTCAATGATTATAGAAAAAAAAGATTTTATAGCCGTTGCTGTATCAACTCTGGCTCTGCTTTGGATTTTTTAAAGCTTAAGTGAAAATAATGTTATTGATATGTTTTCATGGAAACAGTATGAAAATTACAATGTATAGATGTTTTGTATGAATTTGGAGGCTACTTTAAATAAATTCTAACTGCTTCACATGTGTTAGATTAAATTAACATAACTTGCACATCACATTGTTTTTTATATGTATATTTAGGTAAATTAAGTTATTGTGTTTTGCTAAACCTATGCTTAGATTAAACTAAAGAATATCATCAATAACTAAATTGTGTTGATTTTTGTTTTCTAAAATCTATATATATAATTCCGTAAGTCAAATTTTTGTAAAGAAATTGTGAGTGACTGGATGGCCGTAGAAGGATGGGAGGGGTCTTATTTTAAAGGTCTTGACGTGAATTTTGAGGGAAAACTATTCATTTTTCTTATTTTTTTACCATAAATTCGCAACAGAATAAAACTTTTCCCATTAAAACAACATGGGGTTTAATTTGTTTACATCTTTTGAAATTAAAACAGCTGTGCCACAGATTTGAAAACAGTGATCAATACACACATTTGGTTTACTTTTAGCCAGTCAACTATGAAATGTATACTATAATAAAACTGAAATATTGAAGATTAGTCGGGAAAACGTCTGCATTCTTTGTTTATATTTAAATCATATACTCAAGTTTCATTTTTTCATGCTTTTACGTTATTGTCGTGTTAAAGGAATAAACGACATAGAATAAATATTCTGTATAAATAATCAAAGAGTCGAAATTAAATCTAACTTCTGTTTTGTTTTTATTTTTAAATCATATGTTCAAGTTTATTTTAAATGATGTTGTTTTCTTTATATTTCTACACATTTTAAGGTTAAGGTTGTGTAAATATATACAACTAATATAACCTATAAATGTTATTGGTTCTAAAATGGTGTATTTGCATTCCTTCGTAAGTAAATTTTTTTAGTGCAGTGAATATACAACGTAGAGTAATCATATTCGATCATACTTTTATAAAATCACCAGGGATTCAAGATGTTTTGGTATGTAGGCTGCTGGATATATATTCTTTTCATTATAAGTACTGTAATTAATATAAACGCCAGGGGAATACCACAAAGGCGGGGAACTGTTCATAGGAATGACAGTGCGCGTAGGAGAGCAAGAGTATATAATGACGAACTTAATCAAATTATGTTACAACCCCTTTTTAGGAGACCCATGGTAGACGAGAGAAATGTAAAGATCCATGATGCAGGATTATTGGACCAAGAGTGCATTCAATGTAGTGTACAAAAGATATGGTGTAGGGATGCCTATTGTGACACATAGATAATGTTATTCTGAGTTTGTTTAAATACCGGTATTGCAAAAAGTTGTTTTACATTTGAGCTTTTTAGGGACTTATGTCCCTACAAGCCACTAGTCTGTTGTATATGTGTAACTATATTTAATTATCAAATGGTAATACAAAATACTCTTATTTTATCTTAACATAGCTTTCAGTTCACATTTACTTTATTTGATACATTTATTATTTGTGTTTTGCCACACCACTGATTAAATTAAACCAAGGAAAATATCATAAAACTAAGCAGTACCATGTACACAGTGTTCTTTTGTTTCTAAAATCAATGAAATATCTGTTACTATGTTTGCTTAATGGTAAGTGTGAAAATGTAAAGGCAATGGACGATGGAACTGATTAAAAGAACTGGTTTGTATATTAAGTTGTTTGTTGATATTTTTGTATAGTAGAATCAGAGATGCAATGGAACATATACTGTATTTGCTATTAAATTTTTTAGTCCTTGATGCTTTGATAATCATATTAGTTTTGTCTGCTGTCTTTAGCCTAATTCTAAATTATTTGTTTGAAATTGTTTATAGTACCTATAGATATAGTTTCTTTAATATTTCAAAAGACTGTATTGATAAGGCACAGCAATATTTCTAAAGTTTATAACAGCTGACTTAGTTTTGCTAATGATTTATTGTGAGTGAAAAAACTGAAGATGAAAGGATTTGTGATTTAATATAAAGAAGAGTTTAACATAAAGATATTTAAATTTAATAATTAGTATTTTTGCAAATTCAAAATTGAAATTTAAAATGTCAATAATAAATTTAAAAATGTGTAATTAAGGGAGATAAAGGTAAATCTGGTAAATTATGTTTGTCAAAGTTTTACTCGAAGATTTGGTCAGTTTTTCTCATATCAGCCTACACAAGATTTAAAATTAATCAAAACCAAAATGGTGGTATCCACTACTTACCAGATTTAAAAGACATGACTTAAACGTTTCTATCAAGGCCATAAAAGTTAAATTTTGTTTCTAAAAGCGTTGGTGGATGTGTAACTATTACCTATATGCAAGAGATAAAGATTAAAATGTTTTTATTTTGTGTCCTCTTCCCGTTGCAAAGCACGGCACAACAGCTAGTTATTAATAAAAGTAGCCTATTAAAATATTCATTAACTTGTTGCTTCTTGTTTACAACTAGACTGTGGTCAAAAACTCGAAATATGATACTACTGTAATGTAATAATGAACTAAATAAAGTACCTATACTATTTCTTACGTCATACTGCAGCAAAAACAGGAGTTTTCAATACATACGGGTCTAAGTAACTCTTTTACTAGAGAATAAAAATGAACTGGATTTGATGACGTCATCAGCAGTACATTTTGCCACTTGTTAGCTTTGATTGCCATCAATCGTAGCAATGTTGAAGCAATCGGGTTGTATCGATTGTAGTTCATTGTTGCAATGTTGACGACTGGATTCAAATTTGTTTCCTACAGTTACCTGACAAAGCAGACTTTCTTGCACTGATTATAGCACGCAAAGTAGCTAATTGCTGCATTTACTTACTTTTGCC